AATGGATGACGAAGGTATGATACTGGTGCGGACATGATAAACATGAGATGCGTGTCATGTAAAACCATGACTACATTCTACGATGATGATGCGCTAGCGGCCGTTTCGCTAGTTTAAAGTATGCCAAATTTGGTATGATGCGACGCCAGCTGATGACAAAGGTACGTGACTGGTGCAAATATGATGCCATGAGATGCGTGTCATGTGAGAACATGACTACGGGCTACAGGGAAGGTGCCAATACATTTCGATTGTGACGCGGTGCGCGTGCGCACTGGCATTCATTTCGTCGCATCACGCTGGCGTTGCAACGCCAGGCGCCGGTCTTGCCATATACTTGCAGGCGCGCGCCCCGCTGCACTGCTTTGACGCATGCGCGTTTCAGCACGTCCGGCTTCCCTCCGTCACGAGAAGAGGGAGACGCGGTGTTGTCTTGATAACGCATCGCCTTCATTTAGCAGCAAGTCGCATTTCGCGTCGTTTGCCGTCAGGCCACGCCGACCGACGCTAGTCGCGCCTATACCAACACCACCTAGATAAGTTATCTAGGTGGTGTTGCCTATACTCGGCGAGAGCTTTTCTTGACAGCACTGTGGAAGCTATAGAGCCGAACCGCCTGCATGAGCGCGCGCCAGGAAATAGTACCTATTTTATTTTCTGATTCTAATAGCTACTTGGCCCGAATAAATAAAACTTTCTTCATTATAAGAATAGAACAAGTATGGGACGCTGTGCATGGGGAAGAAGTTATTGTGTGCCCTAGTTTTTTTTCTTTTTTATTTCTTAGACTTTTTTTTTTTTTTTTTTTTTTTATATGGCACCACGTTTTCCGCACGCCGGCTGCGTCTGCTGCTTGCTCTTGCAGCGGCGAGCACAGCATCGGCCGTGGAAAAGCTGCTCATCGTTGGGACGCGCCGTTTTTTATACATCACGCATCGAACTTTCCAGCCTTATCACTAGTGGCCGCGCAAGCTCTGAAATAAGCTTCACTGTTCGCGTTTTGCGCGCAATCCTAACAACGATCTAAAACAATTGTGAGGCTTGTCGAACCCTGAGGCGCAGTCTGCGCCGATCATTGCTGACAGCATTTGAGGGCGCAAACCGAATACAGCAAAACTGAAACAAGACAGGCCCGTGGCCGGATCGTGCCGCAACCGGCCTTCCATTTCGCCTGTACCAGGGCTCAATACCGTAAACGTTAACATTCGATCACGTGTGGCGCGTACCCGTATATACTGGGCTGAACACGGAACCTAAACTTCACTGTTATAAAGGCTGAATAATGCTGGGAAAACGTTCTGAACAACGGAAAATTTTATATCTACCAGTATATAAACAACACAGTAACTAGCTGCATGTATGCACTCTCATCAAAGTTTAACTCTGACGTTCCCATTTTGCATGCATACATTTTGCTAAACACACCAGCGCAGCGAGCAAGCGAACCGAAACTGGAACCGAAATCGGGTGCAAGCTGCCGGACAACTTGCGTAGTAACACAAATGTGCGGGGGCCCCGCCTCCGTAGCCTTCGCTCCAATGTCAAGAAAAGCTGTCGCCGATTATAGTGCTCGCGTTTTGCTAACGTAGCGTCGCTGTGCCCAGCGTGCTGCCGCGTCAACGCTACATTGGAAATATTGGGTTCTCCATGATGCGCTCGCGGCGGTTTTGCTAGCTCCACACATACAAAATTTGGTGTGATGTGACGTCAAGGGATGACGAAATATATGACTGGTGCAAACATAATCCTGATACGTGTGTCATGTAAGAACATGACAACATACCACGCTCATAGCATGCTCGCGGCTGTTTCGCAAGCTCATATATACTAAATTTTGTATCACGTGACGTGAATAGATGTCGAAAATAAACGGCGCTTCCAAACATGATTATCATGACACGGAAGTCATGTACGGCATCATTTACCCCCACCTCGTAACGTTGTGCTGATTTTAAAGTGACATATCAACATTTCTAATTGGTGCTTCGCATATCATCGATTCCCACTGTACGTGGGTTCAGCTGCCAGTTTTTTTTTATTTTGCTAGGGGAGAAGATAACCACGTGGCCACAGCTGTTGCTTTGGGAGAGGGAGCGAAGAGCGAGAGCGGTGCCACGGAAAACGGCAGATGCCTGACATAATCCGACTGAAAATTGAATTTGCATTTAAAAAATCCTGAAACCCCTTTTCAAGTAACCATGGAATGAATTCACTGGGAGGGGCGGGGGAAGTGTTTATGTTTAGAAGAAGGAAAGGAAAACAAAAGTGAGCCCCGCTACTGTCTGCCTCAGGGTGCGACACCTCAGCAGTAGCTCACAACGGATGGGGGTGAGGAGGGATTTAAAGGATAGGAATAAAGGTGTAGAGAGAGAAAAAGAGAGATGAGGAAAGCCAGAGAAAGCGACGACAAATCGAGGGGATAGAAGAGATAGGAAAGGTGGAAACACGGTCACAGGAGTCCGATGACGGGGCACCACTTGCAAGAGCTCTTGTGGACGACAGGAGATGGCGTAGAGCAAGTCCAGTTGGTCAGAGCTACACTGTCGTTGGAGGTCGGCGCCAGGAGATGACGTAGGGTGAGCCCAGTCGGCCAGAGCTACGCTGACGCCGGAGATTGCGAGGGCACAACCGGTCGGCATAGAATCCAGCAAGCGAGTCGAATGAATTCAGTCAAAAATGCATCCGCTTCTCCGACGGGAATCGTGAGGAAATACGAATGCATTGTGCAGCGTCCGTAACGGCTTTTCCACGTGAGAAACTGTCGCTCGGTGGATTCCATGTCGAACGGTTGTGCCCCCGCGATCTCTGACGACAGCGCAGTTCTGGCCGACCGACTCCCTCCACCATCTCCTGACGCCGTGAAGCTCTCACTGAGTGGTACCTCAACCTCGGACTCTTTCGACCGTGTCCCCTTCTTTCTCTGCCTTATTTTTGCTGCCAAGATTCCACTGGACACCAAAGGTGATGCGAAAATTACCGTAACTCTCCTCGAGTTGGTACAGAATCGATGCAGCACAACAACCTGGTGAGTGGTTGTAAGGAAGAAGAAAAAGGCACCTAATTTCTGTCTGCCTCAAGGGCGACTAGGCGCACTGCCTTACAGGGGTGGGGGGAAGGAGGGAGAAAAAGACTAGAAGGAATTAGATGAAGAAATAGAGAGGCAAGCGACGGAAAATAGAAAGAGATATAAAAGGGGGGATCCGGTCGAAGCAGTCCAAGGACGGGGCACCACAATGCTAGAGCTTCACGGCGGCAGGAGACCGCAGAGGGCGAACCAGTCGGCGGGAGCTACGCTGCCGTCGGAGATCGTGAGGGCACGACCGTCTAGCTTGAAATCTCCCGAGCGAATCCCACAACCACCTGGAGAACAGATGCGCGCCCACTTGATACGTAGCGTCTCGCAAGTGTGCTCTCATTTCTTGATTTTTTATTGTTTGCTCACTTATTGCCAGTACAAACAAGACGCTGGAAACTGTAGTATGCTAAAAGACGCCTCTCGCATACAGCGATGCTGTACGGGATCGAGTTAAGTGGCTCACACGTATGGCTGGCCCGTAGCGAGGCGTAAAACTCGGTCGGTGTTTGACGTAACTTCCTTTGAACCGTCACGGTACCAGTGTACCTCAGCCGAAGATGTCATAAGAAATGCATTCGCATTTAAAATTATGGACGATCAGCTCGGCATCCCAGTCCCCACGTGGGAGCTGCCCGCAACACAGTGATCTGTGTTTTGGAGGACCAAATAAAAGTTTATCTAATCAAATCCCCGAAGGGAAGGCTGATGGAATGCGAAGCAGCAGCGATGCGCAGGACATTGACCCAGTTCAAACGGGCGTCAACGCGTGTGTTGGAAGAACGGTTTGAAGCAAAACTTGGTGTTTGTTTGAAACGCGAACATGGGAGGTGGGTTGGGTTTCCTGTAAGTTTCTTCTAAGTAAGACTGGTCGCTCGATGTGTGCTCGAACGTTGCGAGTGGTGGAGAGAGTAAAGTGAGAGAGATGACACACAGCGAGTGGTGACAGGCTAGGGAGAGTGATGTCAACGAACGTGCATGTGCACTGCAAGGGAAGGCGTGACCTTTTTGCCCCCCCCCCCCCCCCACACGTCCGGCCAGTGGAGCGTGGTGCGAATAGAGGGACAGCGTTACACAGGCTAGTCAAAGAGCTACTTCACATCTAAAAGAACTTAGTGGCTCACGAAATAAACGCAACAATAATTTCAAGAATTCGTCCAGTACGAGCGAAGTTACGAAGAATTGTCGCACGCTCTAAACGCATTCTCTCTTCTTTCGCCCGATGAAAGTGCTGGAAGCTAAGCAGGGAGGAATGCCATGGGCAAAAAAATTACGTCACGCGCACATCGTGACCTTGAGCACTTCTTTTTTTTTTCTGCGAATACGTGTTTTTTTTTTAGTTTGATCGCGCGCCCACGCATGGACAAGTCGTGGCCTTCCGCGGTGACTACCGTTACGACCAAGGGCGCCATGCTCAAATCACCCAAAGTATAATAGATGCCTTCTACGAGTGACATTTGAGTGTCTTCCCTCATTTGTCGTGAGAAAAAAAGCAATTTTTAGCTGACTTTGATAATTCATTGTGAATCTCAGAGCCTGTGCTGCGCTATAACATCTAGAACGCGTGTTCTCGGGAGCCCCTACCACCTACCGGCAGCTTTTTCTGACAATGCTTTGCTCAAAACTGGCGGCAGGGCACCTTTAAAAGGAAACACTTAAAGGGAACACTTTGCAACGCAATGAAAAATAAAGAATAAAGAAAAAGAAAGAGAAAGAAACAGTGAAAGGAGGAGCGAAATAAAGAAAATAAAGAAAAGTTGGAGCTCTTGCACGCACACGCCAAGCTCCTCTTTTGCCCATTCTCCGGATAGGGCAAGAAAATTTCATGGTTTTTCAGGGCAACGAAAACCCTGTATAACAGTACATTATTATGGGATATTGCATGCGCATTTACGTACGTGTGAATATTAAACATAAACCCAAATTATCTCTTGGTGCACCCCTGAACATCTTTATTCAATATATTTTCATTCCTTTAGGAATACCACTTTATACCCATACAATGCAGGCATGTCCATGCTGTGCAAAACATCAGTAGAAGGCTTAACAATCCAAAAAACTTCATGGGGTTTCTTTCCTAGTTTTAATGAACTAACGCAGTTTTCTTCGTGTCATCGCTTTCTGTAGAGCTGATGTGGTTGTGAACAAATTGGTGTTCATCTTGCTCATTTGGGTAACCGTTGCCACCTTCGAAAATGGCTGGAAAGTAGGGGCACTTTTCTCAGACTTGGGTTGAGTAGACAGCCGAAATATAATTCCTACGCAGATGCGCCACCACTTGTAGAACTGGCACTGGTGTAACCGGACCTACCACCGTAGCTTGCACCGGAGCCTTGGGGATGGGTTGGGTAGCCACTGGGTTGGCCGTATACACCGTAGTAGCTATAGCCGGGGTAACCAGAGCCATATCTCCCATCGTATCCTCCGTATCCTCCATATCCGCCGTATCCTCCATATCCGCCATATCCACCATATCCGCCATATCCGCCATATCCGCCATATCCACCATACCCGCCATATCCACCGTATCCGCCATATGGATAGCCAGATGGTGGGTAACCTTCGTCAAGGAAGAAACAGAGAAAAAAAAAGTCACAGCTTTGCCGCGAAGGTGAACCAATTACGCGAAGGTGAACCAATTAACATAACAGCAACAAATTCGAAGGTCACGTGAGGAATTACAAGCAGAATAAAACGTTTCTCACGTTTCTCATGCACAAATAACGCACGAAACGTACTCACAGGTACAGATGAACACGAATAAGCGTTTTCGTTGCTAATTCGCTGTGTTAGAAAAGCGCGCCCTTTTTTGGAAATGGAGTCTGTACAGCTGGTGCAGTGACTTTGTGTGCCAGGTAACTACAACCATAGAGTTTTCTAATATACACTAGAGGAAACTCTGGCGCTACTGTCCATGGGAGCTGCATCTCATGGCACTGGAGTGAGCATGGGCATGATAGGTACAAAGATTTATCGAATTTGCATACTTTTGAACTGCTTCTGGATCCATTCTGCAGTTCATGCATCATAATATACGGATTGATAAGAAAATGCGTAATGCAACGTTTTTAAAATTACTTTTTTAAAATTGAGATCGCCATAGTACGTAGCACTTATATATTCAGGTATGTGGTGGAAACTAGTAATGTGTAAAAATGCCCTTGCGTCACGGAATTGAAAGCGCTGCGTTAGGAATGTGTTACAATTTCTGCCAAGTGTTAGCGTCAAGCGGCACGTAAGATATACAGGGGTATAATGTCTAACAAGTAAGCCTCACAATATGGTTCATCAATAGAGGCAAAGTGCTAGAGGCCCATGGGCAGTGCGCTGTTCACGATCATAAAAAAAAAAAAACCCAGATGGTCAAAATCATCCGGAGCCCTCAACTACAAGTTCACCCAGAGTACTATATTGTGGCGTGGCTTATAATGCTATCGTTGTTTCGGTACGTAATACCCCAGAGTTTATCGCAGTGTTATTAGCCACAACAAAAACAGACAGTAAAGGTCATCATCATTATCCTGACCACGCACAGTGCAGGACAAAAGCCTTCCGCCAGTCAACTCTGTCCTGTGCTTGCTGCTGCCACTTTATAGCCGGAAACTTCCTAATCTCATCTGCCCACCTAACTTTCTATCTCCCCTTCGACCACTTGCTTTCTCTTGGAATCCAGACTGTGATTCCTAATGACCAGCGGTTATCTTACCTTCGCGCTTCGTGTCTCGTCCATGACCATTTTTTCTTCTTTATTTCGATTATGCATGATACCTTTATTTGTTCCCTGATGCACTCTGCTCTCTTCTTGTTCCTTAGGGTCACATCTATTATTTTCTTTCTAATGCTCGCTGTGTCGACCTCAACTTAACTTGAACCATCTTTGTAATCCAGGTTTCTGCTTCGTAGGTAAGCACCGGTAAGATGCATACTTTATATATGTTTTTCTGGAGGGACAGTGGCCAACTACCAGTCATGATTTGAGAATGCTTTCTGAATGTGCTCCACTCCACGGCGGTGGTCAACGGCTTCCTAGGTGACCACCGCTGGTAACGCACTCCCCAGCCGGGAAATATTGGAAATCCTAGCGCAGGATCTGGCCACTAGCTTCCCCATGACATATGCGCAGTAAAGTTGTTTGTCCGTAAACATGAGTCATCAGTTTGCGAAAAAGAGTGAAAAGCTAGTCTTACCATAGCCGTAGTCGCTCAGTCCTAGACCGGCATGGCCACCGAGGCGTGCTCCTAGGTGCCCTCCAATCGAAAGGGTCCCTCCCGGGTATCCTAATGGACCAACTCTATCGACGCCGGCATACAGCCTACTGCTTATTCCGCCATTTGCACCCACGTCACTTCCAAGACGACGAGTTCTTGTGGCACTCGTCAGTGCGGCTGTTGACAAAACACACATGAAACAACAAATTTGAAAATGCAGTACATTGAAAAAAAAAACTGGGTGTTATCATTTTAGATACGAAATAATAAATGCACAGGGTGTGAAAGACAGAGACTACCGTCGTTTTTTTTTATTACGAGGTTATTGGAACATAAGACATCACAAACCGGACGCTAACCTTGTAATATTTTGCTACATTGTCGGGAAAGTAAGTGATCGCCGAAATTCAGTGAATGCGCAGTTTTGTACCGCCATAGGAATGCAGAAACATGTTTGATGAATGAGGCTTGACATATAAATAATAGCGGTAGCGCATGCGTCAGCCCACGGTTGAATGCCTTGCTTAAAAAAGAAATTTGAAAGCAAAAAGGTAGCAACTACAAGCAAATAGTTAGTAGCTGCAACGCTTGTTACCTTTCTTGAACCGTTACTAACCTTTCGAAACCTGTTTACTACCTACATTAGTAAAAAGTTACTATAGCTGCCACCATTACTTCTTTCTACCTGTTTACTACCTACGTTAGTAAACAGTGAGTAACTGGAATGAAAAAGGTAGTAACTGAAGCCTTTACTAACTTTCTTGCACGGTTACGTGCCTTTTTGCTACCCGGCCATGAACTATATAATCTAAAATATTAGGGGATACTTATTCTAATAATCTACGAGAGAAATCATCTTGACGTATCATCTTTAAACGGAAAAACGACGCGTTAGATATCTATGGATAAAACAACAATTATTTCAAATTACGCAACAAAGTTATGTTAGCGTCATTCTGCTTTTATCAAAACGGAGAAATGAGTTGGAGTAACGCGTGTGCACCGCTGTAGGCGTCTCGTCACTTGATGGCGCGTCGATGCCTTCGGCCACGCGATCCCGTGGTCTGCACACCTATAGGTTCACGCCCCTACGTGACTCAGGGATCACTGTTTTTCGTTTAGGTTTGCCGATATTAGTTCGGCCTTTTTCTGGAAAGGGTACATGCTCTCAAATTCGCCTTCATTTCAAGTAAGTGAATAGCCATGTATATATTACTCTTTATTGTAGAAATGGCCAAAGGACATGTGCTCCATGCCGAAGGAGAATAAATGTGGTGAAATAGAGTAGATTCAGCAGGCTACAAAGAAACAGTGGAGCTACATAATCTATTCCTTGTGAATTCCCTCGGTACGAAAAACAATGTTTACAGAAATATTATAAAATATAGAACGCGAAAAATTCGCATAAATGTCGGCGTAGCGTAATGAAGCTATAAACTGACATTGCCTTAAGTTTAATGAGCTAAGTTGGATATGTGGTTTACAAAATAAAGGCGAAGTGTCTAATTTCATAGCCATGTTGGTCAGGGAAATGATAAGACATTTTAGCGCACGTAGACAGTGGTGTTGTACCCTTTGGTGTAGAGCTGCTTGGTTTTTTTGTTAGCAGTATTGCCATCGCTCTTTTTTTAATCATCTGTGACTTCTCCTTCTCCCTATTGGTCTGTTTCTGTATGGCTACAGTTGCGCTTGTGTTGGTGGAACTATTTGTCGAAAAACAAGTGATATTTTAATGGCAGAGCTCACGCAGGTTGCTGTTCGTTAGCGCTCAGTGCAATTGCAGACAGAATTCGCTAATGATAAGTACAGCATCTAGTCTGGCTAAAAACTACTAAATAATTTTTGCATGAGGTGTTTTTGTGAATGTTGACCTGTAGTAAAATAAAAAAAAGTTGACTCACTGGCATTGTAGGTAGGCGTACATAAGAGTCACTTAACGCAAAAGCTTGATTTTTATTTTGGCAAATATGCAATTGAAAGACGATAAAGACCGATGTTGCACTCTCAGAGCAAGTAGCGGAAAACTGTACGTAAGGATGGTAGTGGAGACCTGCAGGCTGTACTACGTGCAGCAGAGACGGTGGATGCTATATTTCTTAGAATTTTATAGGACTTAAGAAAATACTGTTGGCGGAAATATTTAGCAAGCAATAAATATTGAAAAAGACATTCGTGAACTTCACGTTGCTTCATTATTTACATATTAATCAGGATTATTTTTTTACTCATGCAGTGGAGGAATAAAATAGTGCAATGCAGATACTTGTAGTCACTGCACCTCCAAACTTACCGTTATTAAGCGACGCTTTGAGTAACTCTCAAGCTATTCTTATGTGGACCGAATGTCACGCTTAACCTGGCAATTTCCTCTGGTTCTTTCTTTTTTTCACGAGACTGATGCAGTTACCGTTATACTTATCAGTCTTCAGAAATCAATGAATTAACTTTGGAAGTTTCGTGCGAGACCACTTTTACTGCCATATTGAGGGCAGCATGACCTTGTTGTGGCAGTAGTCATAGATGCCACGATATGAATTAACACACTGGGAAAGGTTAAACGAAATGTTAGAGGAATAAGAACCAGGATTTCGCTTAACAAACATTCGTAAAGCGTGTAAATGAAATGAAAAGAGGTCATTGGGAGTGGTTTGTTAGTCTAATGACAAAGTACGGCTGCACAACTCACCAGTTAAAAGAAGGCAAACAACAATGAAAGCTTTCATTGTGCGGCTTTCTTCAGTGTGCGGTCCTCTAGAAACAGATGATCTCCGACCGAGAGTGACCGAATTCAGAGCATTGCGCTCGCTTTTATCGCAAAGTCGACGACAGCAAATCTCTTCGATGCAATGCGGTAACGTACGTGGTTCGTTTTTCTGTCAGCGAACACAAGGTGCTTGTCAAGACACAAGAACAATAGCGAGAACAATTCTGTTCAGAATGGCCTGATAAGGCAGTAACGTAAAAAAAAAAGAGATCAAGAAGCCAAAATAGCAGCCTCTGTTTTGTCACATTGACCCCCCAGGAAGAAATTCTGGCAAATCTGCCGTATTCAGGGAGTTGAGCTTTTTCCAAGCAATCAAAAAATATCCGCCTATGTTGTTTTCATTTTTAATTTTTTGTTTTAAACCAATCTTTACGAGCATAATTCACGTCATTGTGTAAGTTTAGTAGTTGTTCGAATTGTGGGCTGACCAGGCGCGTCGACTACACTAGAGCCAAAAGGGTAGCTCGTGGTACAACGTGACGTAAACGATCACCAGAGGGCTCTGACAACAGGGTTATGCGAAAGAAGTGACCGATGCATCGCGATGAAGTGCGTGTCATAAATAGCTGTCATTGGCGCATTCGTGCGGAATGAAGCAATGCTATTGCTTGCTTTATTTTTAAATGTATATCAGGAGAGGTTGTTGCTAATACTGGCTACACATATGGCTACTTCTCTAGCTGGTGTCAGTGGTGCTGGGTACTCCTCCCTTGCGCAATAGTTGTCGCAGAGTAGAAACCAAATACAAGGCTATAAAGAGATTCACAGTAAAACTCTTCCGCACTATGTCCTAGTTTTTCAATAAGAAAATTCGTCCATGCATCACAAAAGGGGACAAAACAATGTATGCACGCAATTGAAATATTCACACATAACACAATGGTTTGCTAGAATGTTGTGATAACTGATAAAACGTTTCTTGGAAATTGACTTGTCGGTGCGTGACTGCAACAGCAACACTCATGTTTTCACAAAGAATGCTCGACAAAAGGTACATCAATCACGAAGCGAAGTGTACCAGCAAACAATACCACGAGTAAAGTTATATCATATTTATTACACTTGTGAAATTTTTTATTCCTCTCAAAGTTGCACTACGGAGGTTTATTGATCGTAACGGTACATATGTATCCTAATGTTGTTTATACTAATGTTTATTGCATTGTTATGAAAAACTGATAACCAGCACTGGAACGACAATTCACGCTACCTCAGAATGACGCCGGTATAGGGTGTTTTTCCGAAACAAGAGTTAGGCACTGGTGGCACACTGTGCTAAAGTACTTCATCACCACACTTGATACCGGCTTGAATAGCCACTTCTATCAATTCTTGCATGTAGGGATTTTCAATGATCGACAGCGTCAACGATGCCGGTACCAGCTTTCCATGACACAGGCCCCTTTCCTCATTTTATATCGCGGCAAAATTTCCAGTCTATTTTTGCTGTTACTGGCATTAAAAGATGTGTAGGACATACCTGTATTCCATGTGCATGGTATCCGGTGTGGCACAAGTGGCTGAAAGAAATGGTTTCATAAAGTACAGGAAGCTGATTGTGGCAAAGTAAACTGAGAGAGTGGTAGGAACTATAGAAAATAATATTTTACGACGTTTTCTTTTTTGTATTAATTTGATGTATTATGATTTTGTTGTGAACCAATTTTGAAATTACAGAATTGTATATTTATCTCTTGTTTTGAAAGAGGAAGATTGTTTTTGAACAAAATATAAAAGAACGGTTGTTTTTATTGACCCATTTTCACTTTTTATTGGGTATCCGGTGCCTTGCTTTTCGCAGCCTTTCTAACATGTTCACAATCACACCGAGGGTAAAAAACTGTGTTATTACCGATTGCACATTTTAAGCATTGGAGATCTGTAAGTTTTTGGGAACGGCAGAAAGTGTGAACAGGAATGTTCATCATCATGAACCAATACGCGCTCGTTTTGTCCTCTTCAACTTATGCTATGCTCCCGAATACCTGCGCCTATTTGTTCAGCGCGTAATGCAATAACGGAAGTGGCCCAGCTGGTTACTTGAGTAAAAGCCATGTAACATAAAAGTAAAAATCCCAGCTTTGCCGCAAAGGCGAAGCAATGACCACAATAGCAACCAATTGGAAGGTCACACGCAGAATGGAAAGCAGATAGAAACGTGCCCCACGTTTCTCACACCAAGTTAAGCAGGAAACGTACTCACAGGTACAGATGCACGCAAATAAGCGTCTCAGTTGCTACTTAGCTGTGTCTGAAAAGCGGGCAATTTTCGCAAACGGAGACTGCAATGAGTGCAGTGACGATTGTGCGCCCGGTAACTACAACAGAATCATTCCAGGTGAAGCTCGAAGCCAGCCAAGACATACGAGTCTCCCTCTTCCCCACGGCGAGATAACTGCGCGCGAGGGAGCGTCGCTGAACTCCTCTAAGCGGGTCAAAGTTCGCGTGGGAGTACGCCACGCGTCGCGACATCGCGCGGCGACGCGCACTCTTTGCGCGATCTTGCTGGTAATGCTGAAAACACGGTAGTTGCTCCCGGAATGCCAACCAGCAGCGGTAAGTGATAGATATGAATAGCTTGTTGTTTGAACGTTGAGAGAAGTGCTCCTTGGTGGCTCAGTGGTTAACGCCTCACACTCACGATCGAGAAGACCTAAGTTCCACCGTGCAATGGAGTCTTTTTCTGGGTTTTTCTCTTTCTTGCATTTTCATATATGTAGATACGTTTACATACAAGGTAAGTGAGGTTGACGCCGACACCGGCGGCAAAATACAGCCGAGAGTGCCCATATAATATTTATTGCAATATTAATTATAGGCGTTTAATGTCGCAGAACAACGTAGGAAGTACGCCACAGTGAAGGGCTCAGGAAGCGTCGATTATCTGGGGTTTTCTAACGCGCACCTGACTGTAAATACAATCATGGTAAAAAATTTGGGGGACCCTTAAGCTTCATCTTTAAGAGTTGAACGCGATAGCAAAATCCGGCCTATAGTGCGCCCTTCAACCACTAAGTGCATACTTATTTAATGTTTTGTTACACACACACACACACACACACACACACACACACACACACACACACACACACACACACACACACACACACACGCACACACACACGCACGCACGCACGCACATAGTAGATTGTACCAGCGCACGCGTACAAATGGTACACACAGGTTTTTGATCTAAAGCAAGAGTCACAGGGCCCCAAGGTACGAGCCATGCGCTCACCATCCCGGATGCCATGTAGAGTCTCACAATGCCTCACAGATGGCAGTACATTATCTAGCGTTTGTTGTTTGCTTGATCAACGCCTCTGGAAAGGCATGATATATTTTGCACTAGATGAACATATTTATTTAGATTAACATATTTTTAGAGCTGTTTGAAAGTTCCTTTGTGTTCTGAGCGGTGATGGCTGCACTATACCGGCCTTTTTCGAAGTAGTTTGTGGTCTCCCAAATGCGCCTACAAATCGCCAAATGGGATCGTTTTCGTCGTGACACCTGTCGAACAAAATGCGTTAAAGTGCCCTGAAACACTTTTTTTCAAGCAACCATGAAATGAATTCACTAGAAGAGCCTATTGCTTTGCGAACTCAGCGCCGCAAACATTTAAAGAAGATGTTCAGTGCGAGTGGAGTTACGAAGGTTTATCGCGTGCTGCCATAGCATTCTCTCTTCTCTTGTCCCGACGAAAGTGGCGGAAGGTAAACAGGTAGGGGTGGCAGGAGCAGAGCAACGCCTACTAAATTTCAAGGCCGAAAGGCTGCCGCAAGGACGTCAGAGAATGGGGGGCCCAGGTGCCCAACTGAGCATGCTCAGTAAGACTTTTTTTTCACATCTTGTATTCGGCCCAATCAAGCCGCAGCAGCTGCGAGAGCGAGAGCGTTGGTTCTCCTAAAACGTGAACGAAACGCAGGCTTTCCGCCGCGTTCGCGGCGTAACTGCGCCCCCACCCTCTGACGTCACTGCGGCAGCCTTTCGGCCTTGAAATTTAGTCGGCGTTGGGCAGAGGAACAACGTCACCCGCGCCTAGTGACCTTGAGCACTTTTTTGAATGCGCAGCCTGTTCAGTGTGATTGCGAGCGCACGCATGGCATGTGGCGGCCTCCTACGGCGATCCCTGTAACAATTTTTTTCGCTCACGGACGATTTTTCATCACAACCAACGGGGCCGACACCGATGGCAGAATTTCTGACACGAGTTCTCTAACGCTATCGCGGTAAAACTTTGAAGACCATGGGCTTGTGCAGCAATACCAGTTAGCCTAGTTGTTTGCAGCTTTAACAATAGCTCCCTTCTACGGTGCGTGCACCAGAAGACAAGAAAAAAAAACGCTAGGTGCCACTTTTGTAGTTGCCATGGAAGCGCTGATTAAGTGTTTATATTGTTTGGTTCAGTTTCCTAAATTCAAAGTATTTAATAATATTACCCGCCAGTTTCAGCGAAGATAAATATATTAGGCCTATGGTAATCGTGTAATAGCTGAGCGCAATAGTAATGCAGTGAGAAACATACTTGACCCTAATTAGGGCAAGTTCAGTGCTTAATGTTGGTAGTGAGGTCGAGGTTTACAAATCTTGCCACGCCACACCAAAAACAGGCTAATTAGTAATAATTTAGGCTAACCACAAACTGTTTTCGTTAGCTTATTCGGCCCAGGATAGGATTAGACATGCGAGTTATGCTAGCTAGCCTATTTAAGCTAATTAATCTTATTAGCTTTAAATAAAATCACCTATTGGAATGGTGTTGATTCGGTGCTGCTCTCTGATGAGTAATCGATACCCGATCAATAACGTTCGATAAGCGTGTGGCTGAAGTTAGGTGTACGAAAGAGATAGTGTGAACGTTTTGAGCAGCCGTGTCAGGATGCACGTATCCAGTGACCTAAGAAAACTTAGAAAAGCTTTGTGAAGCGAGGACTATAGCTAGGTGCCCACCCGCTTTGCAGGGACCCTTTGCCACTTAATGCAAGATGCGCCATTTTTTTGTCAATATAGCAAATTGCACGGTGTTTCCATAAAGTCAGCAGGAGTGGCAACTTGCGCCTTCTCTG